TAAAGCATCTCTATCCTTTGGATTTCATGACTAACTATTAAGCCCTCAATGCCGTGATCTACTAGAAAAACCGTAAAGTTTGAGCACCAATTGGCCTATATAAGATGTAAAAATCTTACAACATTAAAGAATCTCCAATAGAAACATTGGTAATCACATATTTATGAAAACAAAAGGAATACAATATACATTAAAAATATTTAAGTGTACATAGACCAAACTAATATAAAGGAAAATATTCTCAAACACACTAACAAGAGGCTTAGAGAGACTTGATATGGTCCAATCGATTAGACACTCCAACAAGCCTCTAATCCACTTGAGATGCTCTTCGCCTTTCGCCGGCGGGGACAAGCTCAAGAGCCCCGATCAAATCCTTCTCTGAAGCGCCGCACAACCTTCACACAAGCTTCCATGGAGTCACAATTATCAAGTCGTCTAGGAACTAGCAAGATCCATGAGTAATAAGCAACCATGCTCACAAATCAACCACCTAGTGCCACTTAATCAATCTCTCAAATATCCGCACTAGAATTGTTCCTCACCTCTCCAAATATGCCTGACATGCAAGTGTATGAGAGTGGAAGTTAAAATGGAGTTCTCCTTAAGAGTATATCTTTCCCAAGGTGCCAAGAGAGGATACAAAACATGCCATCCCTCAAAGGGAGTGGAAAAACTAGCCCTTATAGGGGATTAACAGCTGCTCTCCACCACCGGTGATTAGATCATCTAACTTGGCGGTCAGACTATTAGGGGCCCAAGGATCGGCTAATAGACACTTTTTGAAAGCGTCTTTTCTCCAGGCACTTTCTAGTGGCCCATGCATGTTAGACCATCCCTGGGAGTGGTTAGACCATCTATATAGCTAAGCCAGCCCAAGGCCTGCCACCCATGTGCATGTGCAAGGCACGCACACCTGTGACCATTGACCGGTGGTCTGACCACCAATGGGCCTAGTTAGCCCACCAAGAAAAGATAATTCCGCCTCTTTTTTTAAATGCTTTCAAACCATTTCAAAACATGCTATGTCCAAATGGATTCCCACAGGAATACCAATCCCTTTATCACAATTTTGCATTTTCAAATCATTTTGCAAATGTTTTTAAACACATTTGTGAACCGCCACTCGTCTCTAATTGCAACACAACTAAGACCTCTCAAGTGGCACTAGATAACCAACAAACAAATCACATTTTCACCTCTTAATAGTACGACTATCTAGCCTAAAACCGGGCATCCTAAACTTCTCTACAACACCTCATAGCGAGCAAAATAAAATGTCCTACATTTCATACATTTTCCTTGGCTTATTCAATTTTCTTCAAATTTATGCCCCAAGCAAACAAAGTCCGACATAAGCACAATGCCACTTGATATCATCATCAAAATCCTTGGGTTGTTCTTCATAAGTGATGTGGATCACTCAAAGCTTCATATGGCCATCAACCGAAGCCACCTCGCATGCTCTTCATCGTTGCCTTGCTTCACCAGGGCCAAGCGCTCTACTTGTACTTCACTGCCTCGATGGTCCATTGTCTCAAGCCTCTAGCTTGCCCTTCATCTTCACACGGTCCATCACAACCAAGCTTTGTTTCAACTTTTGCCATCATGCCATACTCCACTTGAGCTTTTCCAACATGCTTTCGATGACACCCATGTCATTCAAGCTCTCATGTGGACTAAACTTAGTACCTTCGCGCATTTCTAGTGAAATGTTAGTCTACAATTCATTGTCATCAATTACCAAAATCCAACAAGAACCTAGATCTTTCACATACCTACTTGTGCGTGGGGAAGGTTCTTGGGCTCCGTGGAGTTACTTGGCTAGGAGCTTCTCGATACCTTAGGAACAGTACTATTGTGAATAGGAGTTTGCATTCTCTATCTCATTTATGTTTTCACACGTAATTGCATTTCTTTGGTTGTATGATTTACCTTTCTATTCTAGCTTTCTAGGTTAGTTGATATAATTGAAACATATGATGCAAAACTCTTTTGTGGTAGATATAGCAACACTTATCAAAACGGTAGTGCATATTTATATTGAAATCTTGCATAGGTTTTGTTAAGTAGAAAATGGAGGCCAAGTAGTTTCAAGTTGTGTAATTCATCCCCCCTCTTAGGCATCACAATCCCTTCACTCATGTTAAAATCCATAAGTTTTCTAGTTTTTGGATCGACTCGTAATCCACAAAAGTCGGCCTAGACTATCTCAAAGTTGCCATAGACAACTTTTCTAGCAAAGTTGGCTATTCCAACCTCTAAGGTCAACCATCCCATCTTTCTTTGTAGAATTTTTCCTGGGACCATAACCTTGTCGTCCAGACTTTGAATTTGGTCTTTTATACATGTTTTTCAATCATTTTCGTGAGAGAAATGCAATGGTGATGTTTAATTTGTATTTTGATAAATTCACCATGAGCACGCTTTGTCATTCATGTTGTACGCACGACGTACGACATGTTTGGTTTAGGGATACAACCCATGCATCATGGACTGGTCCAGCATGGAGTCGTCCGACAATTTCTCCTGGAACCACCTCATTCACATCCATATGTAGATTAAAGTGCTACATGCAACGACTTCATGACGGATGGGTTGATGACATGATGCAAACCAAACACCTAGACTAGGCTCGGTACTAGGATCGGATAATTATGCATGTCTTCATGATGCAAACCAAACACGTACTTTGTCTCTATGGATGTAGTGGCATGCTTTCTTCCTTATATTATAATGACTCGGGACCAAAATAAAAAAGAGACTAGTAGAAATATACTCCCTCTATTCTAAATTATAAGTCATTTCTGTTACAAATATAGGATGATCTAGGCACAGATCTAGCGGGTGCATACTTCTATTCGGGATAAAATGACCTAGAGTATGAACTGAAGCAAGAGGGATCGAGAGAGAGAGAGGGGTAGGGATGCCGGACCATTAGCCTTGGAAGAAGAAGAGTCCGCATGGGGTCGGTGGTGAGGTTGGCGATGGTGTAGGGGTAGCAGTGGTGCTCCTGCGGCGGCGTAGACGTCCTAGCGACGGCGAGGCGGTGAAGAATGGTGGCGGCGCTTTTCTGCCGCTGCTGCGCACCCTTGATTGGTTAGGGTTGTGTTGGTGGGGTATTGTGGCTGCGGTGAACCTCGTACTGCGAGGCGCCGGCCCCCACCTCTTTATATAGCGCAGTGCGACGGGGCCCATCAACCATGTAGGGTTGGGCGCCTCCGATCAGGACGCGGGATCAAGGCCTAAGTTGGCCGTTGGGCCAATCTTGGTGGAGAGATCAACCTAACAATTTCAACTATCTTGAAGAGTCAAAACATCTAAAGTTGGAACAAATTTACAGAGAAAATTACAAAGATTTATGATATCAAATAGGTATACTATGAAAATATAATTAATAAAGAATCTAATAATATTTATTTGATATCATAAATGTTATTATTGTTATAAAAATTTGGTTAAACTTGAGATGCTTTTACTATCAGCAAAGTTAAAATGACTTATAATTTGAGACGGAGTGAGTACATGTCAACTAGCAACATAAATCCATTCTCCTGGCTTTCATTTTTTCCCTCATTCAAAGAAATAGCACCAGCGCGGCAGCGCCTATCAATTATTTTCGTAACGTATTAGCATAGGGAAAGTAGGGTAGGACCACCACCACAATCTCAAACAAAGCAGCATGCACGCGCGTGGTCTAGAAGTCCACTCGTCCAGATCAAGAGAGCATCCGATTCGATGCGCTAATCATCGGTGAGCAGGGAGGACGGCCAACAACCATTGCAAATTTTGCTGCCGACACATCAATGGCTGGCCGTTTACCTATACTTCTCAACCAAAATGAAAAAAAAGTAGATGTGTTAGAAAAAAATGCCGTATGAAATGTCACGTTGTCGATCGTCTTCCCCGAAAAGAAAAGAAGTAAGAGAAGAGAAGGTTCGATCCATCTCCACTCCGGGGAAGCGATCACGCGAGAATCAAACCAAAGCAGCACAAGGAAATCATGGCGAAGAAAGAGTAGCTTTAGGAGATTATATATTAGATAGTTCAATTTTTTTTATTGCCACACACTTGTCAGTCATATCCTATACGTATGTATGTAATATACTCCTAGTTCTTGCACAAATTCAGTTAGTATGGTAGTCAATCTAGCAAAGTGAAGATGCACTACATGCACTTATTTTGTTCATTACTTTATAGGGATAATTGTCTGTTGGACATCAAAGTGATGGTCCTTTGCTGATAGACACCCACTTTGGAGCATTTTGCCATAAGATACTTTGTTTTCATAAAATTAGGTCACATGACACCGCGGCCCGGTTATAGCCGGTTGAGGAGAAAGAAAACTTCATTTTAGACATCCGGTGCCCCTGAACCACACTTGAGTCCGCCCCCAACCTGGTCTGGTTGGACCCATAAGAACCGGCCCCGACCCAGCTTGCCGTGGACCTCACTCGCGCCCGGCTCGCCGCGGAATCTTGCTCGCGCGGCCGCTAGCGGGACGCCGAGACCTTACGCCGCCGCGGACCTTGCACGTAGCCAGACCTTGTGTTGCCGCCGGGACCTCGCGCCGCCGCGGAGCCTCGCGCGTAGGCAGACCTCGCGCCGCTGCCAAGCCTCGCTCGTGTGGCCGCCGGCGTGACCGCCGCCGCCGGGGAGGTGGCGCGAGAGGCTGAGACGGAGGGGCACGAAGATCCTGGAGCTCGCGCTAGCGTTGGCTCGACGCAGGGCGCGAAAATCCCGTGCGGCCACCCAGCGCCGCTGCCCTCGCGCTCCCGCTCCGCGCCTGCGCCTAGTGCCGCCACCCGCACCACCCCGACGCCCACGGCTGCGGCCATTGCTGCACCCGCGACGTCAACGTCCACCTCCCTCTGCCTCGGCATCGGCCCCGCATCCCCCGACGGGCGGCCGGCAGAGCCGGAGCAGCCTCCAGCGGGGCGCCGGTGGGGTACGTGCTGCGAGCTACCGGTGGGGTACGTGCAACTTCCCATGGGCATCGCATGCCAGCTCCTGTTCAGCGGGCGCCAGCTCTCTTCCTCCTCAAGCAGGTGCGCGACAACGCCGTCAGCGGGAGCAGCGCTACATCTGCGGCGGAGGCAGAGTCGAGCAGCGCCGCCACAGCGGAGACGACCGCGGCCATGGAGGGCTCCGGCAGCGCGGCGGCACGGGAGGCTGCAGAGCCCAAGCAGAGCCGGGAGACTAGCGCGTCTTTCGCGGCGGAACAGGAGGCGGCGGAGGAGGAGGATGGGGCCGGCGCGGGCGCGGAGGCGAGGAGGCACGCGTTGGAGGCGAGGAGGATGGGGACGGTGTGGAAGCGAGGAGGATGGGGACGGTGCGGGGGCGGAGGCGAGGAGAGCGAGGTGGCAGTGGAGGAGAGCAGCGAGATGGTGTGGAGGTGGCCGAGCCTGGACAGGCACGTCCCCTGTGGCGGACAGGAAACAGAAAAAAGAGAAAGGGAGAGAGGAAGAAGAAAGCGGCAGGGGCAAGAATGTCATTTCACCGCTGCTCTCTCTTCTCAACCGGCTACAACCGGTCCGCGGTGTTCTGTGGCCTAATTTCACCGAACCAAAGTGTCCTCTAGCACGAAGTGTCCGCCAGCAAACGACCATCACTTTGATGTCCGCGAGATAATTATCCCTACTTTATATGGTTAGTGATCTAGTCTTCCTATTGAGTGTTTCAAAAAGAGCCTAGGATGGAACAACAAACCACACAACCGGCCATGGTCTGTAATCTGCCATTGTTCCGGATTCATCATAAAAATAAAAGAATGTTTGTAAAAGGAAAATAATGCATGCATGTGGAGCTACTACGGGCCGTTCGGCTGGTGCAAATACCAGCCGAAAAACACTGTTTCTGGATAAAAAATACTGTTCACGCTCTTACAAATACAAATTCATTCAGATTTCTCCAAACGAACAGGGCCTAGCTTTGGGGCGGCAGGCCACCCTTTCCACTGAATTACTGAACTGTTAGTGTGGTTTTCAATTCAATCGATATCGCGCTGTCTTCCGCCGCTGCGTGCCTCAATCAGCTCCTGCAATCCAGTAGCCTTTAGGGCTTAGTGATAGCGCATTCATGCAGGTTTTAAGCAAGATGGCGACAGACATGGTCCTAGTAATTTGCCATGTTTTCTGCAAGTACTAGATTCCTAAGCACTATACTCCACTCCATTAAGTTAGATTATGCTAGTAGTAGTATACTAGTAACACACACACCCCCTTGTTTTACTTTGTTCTGTCCTGTTACCGCACTGATGACTATCCTGTAAGCTAAGAAGAAAATGGATTGTGATGAAACTTTTTTTTATTGTGTCAATGGTCATCCAGTCTCATATTTATTTCTTGTACGTATAGCACTTACTACAACTCTGCAGTGCAACGGAGTTTGTTTCCTGACGATAGGAATTGACCAGCAGCTAGCTAGTGTTAGGACGCAAATTAAAGGAACGGCCGGGAAACCTCTTTTTTCCCCTCCGTTTGCTCAGAATTCAGCTGCAGGTATGTCACGATGACAAGAACGGAGCACCAACCCAAGGCAAGCGTGGCAGTGATCATATACCGTAATCATCACGGGTGCACTTAGAATCCAGGATAATCATAATAAAGAAATTATCGATCGAGCTAGCAAGCCAGATCACATACGCATCGATCTTTAGCCACCATGAGCCATCACGTTCTTAATAATCAATAAATGAACTAGGAATAACCGGCTAGCAATTCATTTGGTGGGCCCGAGTTACAAAGACTTAAATCATTGTTTGCACATTGGAAGTAGACCTGGAAACTAATAAAGTGCTCAAAGGTGAGAACAAATGGTCGTCCAATTAGAATAGTATAGCATTTTGAAGTCCCCATGCTATTTTTGCGCGAATAATGTTCTTTTTGAAACTGAAACAAGAAAAACGATTGGTTTTGAAACTGAAACATGAAACAATTAGTTTCATGTATTTTCAGTTCAATGATGATCACTATAATTTCCAAGATAAAAAGATCGGCTATGTTCGCTTTGCTAAAAAGTCATGACTGAAAGTACTGTTCGCTGATTTGTTATGAGAGAAAAACATTGTTCGTTCGCTGAAATAGTATGGCTCATAAGACAAGCGAACAGGGCTATCGTTTAAGCCTTGTGAATGCACGACCTGATGAGTGATGACTAATAATTATGTATTATATATGCGCCCTGTTCGTTTGAGTTTATTCAAAATTACTTTTCAACCATAGAACAGTATTTTCCTCTCGCAACATTTCAGCATAAGCCAAATTTCAACACGAGCAAACAGGGTGATGTAGAGACATGAGAGTATTAATTGAGTCAGTGGGAATGAATGAATCCAACGGCGGTAAGGGAGGGTGAGTGCTGGTTCACATGCGGAGATGAACCGGTGTCAACAAAGTGCTCACCTAATGTTTGTACTTTGTTGTTAGTATAAACTCTCCCCAGCTGACTGCAGACCAATTCTTTGAAATGGAGGAGCGAAGTGGGGAAAAAGCAGCGACAATTTGATTCGATTCGATTGAGAAAGGAAGAAGATGGGATGGGTAGTGCTGCTTCGTCCAGATGCCTGTCTTTCCGTTTTGTTCTTCTTCTCTCCATCTCGGATGGCGACTTCCGGGGGTCCAATTATACAGCACCACAGTAGTGACAGTGGGCAAGTTAAGATCTAGTAGCTCACCTTGATCAGCATTTGTCTTATGTGACATCTCCTAGCTCAGGACTAGTTGCAGAACAAATAGCTGGCTTGCTTGCTTATTGGTACAATTGACTTGGGCATTTGGCTTGGTTGGTCACCAGATATGTTTCATTTCTGCAGTCGGCAACTATTATAATCCCCTGTCATCTTGATTGGCAGCAGCAAAAATGATGCGTCTACTAGCATCTGACCGATCGGCAAATTTTGTCATGATCCATGTACGTACGCACGTAGCAACGAATCTGTTAGCTATATTATACAACAAAATTAAATATGAACCACGCACAGAGCTCGATTGAACTTATCCGTGCATTATATATAGCATAATTACAAAAATGATGCAAAGATCTGCCCGCCGTGATGTGGATCGTCCAATAGCACACAACACAAAACTCCAGTTCCGCTGCTGTGTTCAGTCATTTGTTATATAAGATGAAGCAGAAATGAGTGAGAAGAATCAGATGCGCGCAGCATCCACCACCAACCACGGGCGTCCACAAAGGCACCAGCCCAAAAACAAAGAGAGCAAGCATAGCAGAGCGCCAGAGCCAAGGACTCAAGTCAGTTAGCTATCTAGCTAGACACTCTCTGATCTTGCTGGTTGATGCATGGCTTCCTTGTTGCGTTGGAAGGACAGGTACGTGAAGGAGAGGCTGCAGGGCCTCTCTGGCCTGTCCTGCTCCTCCGCGGCCTCCACCTCCGTCGTCGCCTCCACTGGGCGCGCCATCGACCGCTACTCTCCGCGCCTTCGTGACCCTCACCGGCGTCTTCCGCCATCCCTGCCTAAACCACCCAGACCCAGCTCCTCCCCTTTCAGTAGTACCATAGATTCCTCCTTCTCCCTGAAGCAACAGCAGCTTTGCCACTACGACGACGATGGCAAAGACAGAAGGAAGAAGAAAAGCACCGCAGCAGCCGCTGTTAGGGGTAGCTCGTCGACGTCGTCGTCAGAGCATAGGAAAAACAAGAAGAAGGCGGTGCAGCTGCAGCAGGTGAGCCCCGCGAGTTCGTCCAGGTTCCTGCTCAACTCCTCCAGGCTCATGATGCAGTCCGACGACGAAATCACCGTCGTCGACTCCTTGCCGCCGCTTCCGTCCCCGCGGCCCTACTTCATTGACGACGCCGGCGACGACATAGACATATTCCCACCAAGCCACGGCGGTGCCGTGTTGCCGGGTGTTCCATCCAGTCCTCAGCTCGTGGCGCCGCCAGTGGACTTATTCGCTGAGCCGTCTGCATCAGGTGCAGGGACCTCCTCCTCCTCGTCAGAAATAGGAGGAAGAAGCCATGTCGTTGCCGGTGACAACACTGTCATGGTGAGATCATGTTCCACGAGAACAGCCCAGCACCAGGTGAGAACGTTGCGTCCTGTCCTGCTTCGTCGATGATGATCGATGCCTGAACTTGTTGCCAACTTGTAATTGCCAACATACAGGTGGTGGTTTTGAGGGTATCTCTGCACTGCAAGGGGTGCGCTGGCAAGGTGAAGAAGCACATCTCCAAGATGGAAGGTGAACTTTACACTCATCCTACCCCTTCACCTCCAGTTCAGTTTGGATAACTAACACGTACAAGCCTGCATCCAATCCAGGCGTTACTTCTTTCGACATCGACATCGCGACGAAGAAGGTGACGGTGGTGGGAGATGTCACACCGCTAGGCGTCCTCAACAGCATCTCCAAGGTCAAGAGCGCCCAGTTCTGGACAGACTCTCGCTCCTATTTGTCCACGCCGCCGCGTGCCTCCGCCTCCTTCTGAGCTACTCCCCTACCTTCACAAACTTGATGCCCGGGACTTTGACGCCAATACGGTCTTTGAAATAGCGTTTTCTCCGTATTATTGTCGGTTGGAAAATATATTTGTAAAAATCCAATCAAAAAATTGTTCTATTATAAAAGACGCATTTTACAACATGTAACTTTTACTATATACATATGTAGAAGCATCTATTTGAGGTAACCCGTCGTCGTAATAAAATTCTTAATTAAAATATAATGTATGTTTTGCAATTTTGTTAAATATATAAACGGCCACTTTATTACGACACTGTATTACTACTAACCAGATCAATTGGACATGTAGCCATTTGTTATAGTACTCTTGTGGTACATGTCTAGAGCGGGTTTTTTTACAGGAACAAATCTAAAACACATTTTAAATAGGATAGGCCTTGCCAACAAGCCACTAGCCCAGGAAATGCCAAATTTCGGCTCACTTCACCATGCGGTTCATAGCAAGATTTAAAAGGGTTTTCCATATGAATGAACTATTCTGAAATGTAAAGGCAAAATTAAAGTATCTTTGGTCTACCCTTTTGGTGTGGATCTGGTTAACAAAATCAAGTACCAGAAATATGTCCATTCAACTGCGAGGTGACTTGAAAACATGCTTTTTGTGCATTAAATTAAACCTAAGACTTTATGGTGTGATGATGTATCTATGTTCAGAACTAGTTTTTTAAAAAAGGTTCTGTATATGAATCTTTCCGATAACCCATAAAAAAGTTCTAGTCCATATTTGGATCTTTAATCTCGTATAGACCTTGTTAAACTTAAGTGTTATTGGTAGTTTCCTAATTAACAATGGAAGCTAGAGCCTCTAATAACTTGAGCCCTGAGCCTAAGTTGTACAACATGAGTGATTGTAGAATCCTGAGACAAAGATCGGAGGAGGTTTAGTGGTACACTACTTCCAAACCAAACTTCGGAGGTGGGTTCAAACGTTAAATAGAGGTGGGCACAACTGCAGCCTCTATCATTTTGTCACTGTAAATCAAGAATAATAGTGGTGCACCAATAACAAAACAACAAAAACTAGACCCACTTGAGGAGCCCGCTACTCGGGCCCGCTAGCCAAGCCCACTACCTAGGCTGCCGCACCTGCTCGATCTGCCGCCATGCTGCTGCACCTGCTCGATCTGCCGCCACGCTGCCATTGCCAGCTTGATCTACCGCCGCGACTGCTACCGTTTGGACGGTCCAACGCGGAGCTCCACACACACCTGGATTTGCACACCATGTCTAGGCCACCTCCATGCCTTGCTGGATCTGCGCACCTTAGGATGCAGTGGCACTGCCACGCCCTAGTGATCTTCATCCCTTGACCGGATTGACGATGACCAATGGCTTGGGCTCACTACTATAGAAAGTTCATCACAGCTGGTTCGAGACCTCCCTTCACCGACGGTTTTGGCCCTTGTTGATAAAAGTCGTTGGTGATAGTCTTCCTGATTACCGCCGGTTGCGCACCGGTGGAGGTATTGGTCATCACCACCGGATCAGCATACGATCGAGCGGTGTTGTCGGTTAATTCACCGCCGTGTTAGAGTACGATCCGGCGGCATTTGGTCGCATACCACCGCTGGTGTTGTAGACGATCCGATGTTGATGACGGGGACAACAGGGTCGGTTTGGCATACCATCCGGCGCCAATGACGGGACAACAACTATGGTTTGGCATACCATCTGGCGGCGATGACGAGACATCAACGTCGTTCCGGGTTATGATCCGATGTTGATGTAGTTACTAGCACAACCGGTCGCCGTTCGATTCAGTGGTGTTGATGTCGGTATCACCGTCGGTCTGGCGTACTATGCGGTGGTGAAGCCCTCTCCATCACGTGCGGCGATGTTGTTACTGTCATCACCACCGGTTGATTCCATATCACTAATGATTTGGACAAGCCGTCAATGATACTGCATTTTCCAGAATCAATTGTAATAATAATAGAAATATTATTTCGATTACATGCCAGACTCAGGTCATATACATATACACAATGTCATAACATATACATCACTGCCAAGACACAGTCCATAAAACGCATCCAACCACAAGAATGACATGTTATATGAGAACACATAACCAAAAGAAACAGGCATTACAAGGTGAAGAACATTAGCACCTTCATTACATATGACAATGGTCTCCATCGAGATTCACAACTAGGTTCCATATCACTAATGATTCGCAACAACCGCGTCAACGAGTATCCGTCTATACGTTTGTCGACCTCCAACAAGGGGTGGCATTCGCATTGGTTCTATGTCAAGAACGACGCAACCGCTCCCTTGCCAGAGTTCACCGGGCACCTCATCAAAGAGGTTCCAGAATCATGGAGGAGGTGCGGAGTCCCGGAGAAAGACAAGACGAAAATCCAGGACCATCTCGCCGTAGTTTGGATTCTGAAGAAGATGGGCGTGAAGGGGCCGGGGATCATCGATGCCTACCACACGTGGAGGGTGGCTCCGCTGATGAGGCGCGTGCTTCCCCTGCACATGATGGTGCCTAGGGCGTCGCTCGACGGGATGGCGCTCGCCGAGGGAGCCCTCTCCCCCTCTGAAGTGGCGTAGCACATCAAGGAGGCGATGGAACCTCTGCGGGACGACGCCGGCACTGTCCTTGCTTTCATATATTTGATGCCAAGGCATCCCCCAATGCGGCCAGAACCGGGGTACAATGTCTTTGTAAGTTTTCTTTCCCCATGCCTCCTTTTTAATTGAACTCCCGACCTCTTGACGCTGATATTGAGATAGGGGGACCAACCAAAGAAACTTGTCCTTACGGATCTTCCGGCTCTGCTGCCGAAGGACCCGGCCGTGATGGTGGCCAACCGCGCCGTGGCTGAGCGGCAGTGGAAGGCAATGGAGGATGAGAGGAGGAAGAAGCATTAGAAGATATGTGCGTGGGAGCACAGGGAGGACATGGATAGTTATGATGATGATGACGAGGAAGATGACGAGGTAGTTGCCGACATCGAGTGGGATGACCTAGAGAGCGAGGATACGCTGACAGGTATCCACTCGTCCATGCAGGGACCCTTCCCGTTCCATGCAAGGGAAAGTGTGGCCGTGGGGCTAGAGGAGGTGGGCCGAACCATGGGCCCGGCCTCAGAGCCATCAGGGGCGGGCGGATCTGCCACCGCGCCTGAGGTGCCAGCAGAGAGGGTCGGCCCTACTGCCGTGCCTCATGTGCCAGCGGGGGCGGGCGGATCCGCCGCCATGCCCAAGGTGCCGAGGGAGGGGAGTGGCTCCGCCGCTGTGCCCCCGAACACAAGGGAGGCGAGCCCCTCGGCCCAGGAGCAGGGGGCGGGCTCAAAATGGCCCCGTACCAAGGAGGTGGAGCAGGGACTTGGGGGTTCATCCCCGAAACATATCCAACGTCCAACAGCGCCCATGTAAATCTTCAACTCCTCTGTTTTCTCTATTTTAGCGTGACTTATGCCTTTTCTTTTCTTGCAGCGTCGTGAGACGGGTCAGACAGGGCACTTCTTTGGCACTGGCGCCCAAGGAGAGTGTCTCCATTCAGGCGAGGCGGGGGCCATCGGTTACTCCCTCGTCAGTTGGTCATGCGCCGCCCGTGGTGGCGCCCGTGCCCTCAGCGGGTCAAGCAGACGCTGGGGCTAAAGGAGCGCCCTCAGAGGTCGCTGAGCAATCGGCGATGGAGGTGATTCCGCTACCTACATCAGAGCGGACGGAGCTACCGCTCACGCTTGTGGCACCGTCTATGGTGGGCGCAGCGCCGTCGGTCGAGGCCCCACCGATGCAAGCGGAGGTGGCCGCGACCATGACAAGCCAGGCGTAGCCGGACGCAACCGTAGTGGCACCCGAGGAAGTGGCATGATCCATGCCACCGGCGGCCTAGGTGATGGCGCCCGACATGGGGCAGCCGCTCGCCCGCGCAGGGTGAGTCGCTGCTCTAGTGGATGGATCCACAAGACCCAACGTCGATACTCTTCTCGCTCGACGATGCTACCGAGAGCATAGAGCGGGAGAGTCTCAATGAAGGGATCTCGGCCATACTAGAAGTCCTAAACCAGGCTAGGGGCATCTGCGCGACATCATCGTCCCTACTGGCCGGGTATCCACTTAACCTTTCCTCTTGCTTTCTTCTTTCTTTATGTATTTTTGTGTTTTGACATTGATCTTCTTTCAGTCCCTTATCACTCATAGCCGGGAGAAGTCCTGGTTCCTTCGTGAGTAGGAGAAGTGGGACCGCCTCACTGAAGAGACCTGACTACGTGGGGACATGAGCGCCTAGCTCACTGTCGCCCAATAGAGGGTGGCCGAGGAGGCGGCCAGTCTCTGGCAGCGGGAGGCCGAGGCTCGTCGAGACGCGGAGGATGCTAAGAAGGCATTCTAGGATCTATTGATGAGGGTGCGGCAGGACAAGGAGGAGGCCGCCAGAGTCCAAAAGGAGCGGGATGAGCTACTCCAGAGGAGCGTCGAGGCCCGCCAGTAGATCCTTGACCTCCTGGCCGAGGTGGAGAAGGAGCGAGAGCTCAAGCTGGGAGCCGAGGAGAGGTCTACGGCCCTACAGCAGAAGGCAAACCTGGACGCTGAGGCGGTTGCCCGGCTGCGCAAGGAGCGAGATGAGACAAGCCAGACTATGGAGAGGCTCCGCTTGGAGGGAGGCACGGCCCGCGGAGAGCATGACCAGGCCATCCGAGAGCACGATGAGGCATAGTAGAGGATCGGCTCCCTGCAGGCTGATCTCGAGACCGTGGTAGCCTGAAGGCCGGAGGCCGAGAGCGTCTCCATTGGGCTGGTCACGGAGCTTGCCAAGGCACGGAGGATCCTTCGGGCGGAGAGCAATGAGCACGATCTCCTACGCGCTGTCGTCGGGGTGGTCTTTGATGACCTGGAGGTGGCGCGGTCGGAGAGAACTAGCTCGCTTGCGGCCCATGTCGTAGATATCATGACGTGGGTGCGCCAGCTCTAGAGGGAAGCTCTTTGCTCTAGGATCACCCAAGCCTTCAC